AGCCGATCAGGTCGCTGCCCTTGTTGTTGCGAACCAGCCTTGCCGTCGCTCGATCAACCGAAATCCTTTGAATGGGGAGGAGGCTGCAAGTGATGAAGAAGCCGACAACCCTTTTGCAATAGGAGCGCCCGGTGGCGGCGGCTACTATCATTGGAGGGAAAGCGGTCGCGGGTTCTCCTTGATTGGGTCGCAATTATCGAAGAGATCTTGGATTTCAAACGGGTCCCGGAAGATAGACAGGTCGCGTTGGTTGCTACCAGATTTCGAGGTAGGGCTGCGGCCTGGTGGCAGCAGTTGAAGCTGTCCAGCTCGAGGCAAGGTAAGGAGAAGATTAGTTCGTGGGAAAACTGAAGAAAGGGATGTGAGTGGCTTTTCTTCCCCACAACTATTCTCGTTTGATGTATCAGCGATTGCAGAATCTCCATTAGTGTTCCCGTTCAGTGGATGATTACACTACGGAGTTTCATCAGTTGGTGGTTCGGAATGATGTCGCTGAAACAGAGGAGCAATTGGTTTCAAGGTATGTTGGAGGTTTGCGTGAGCAATATCAGATTACGTTAAATACGTTCGATCTATATTCTGTTTCGGATGCCCATCAGAGGGCCAAATATGTTCGAATTCGGCCAGCCTTGATTCGGGCAGATTTGGTTTGGCCTACGGACAATTCAGTACCTGTTGTTCCACAGGCCAATAGAGTGGGTGCTTCGGGGTCTAAGTGCTTCAAGTGCGAAGAGCCTGGCCATCGTGCTGTTGAGCGCCGGAAGGGGGATAGACTGGGTAAGGCCTTATTTGTGGATGCTGACGGGATTACTAGCTAGCAGTATGAGCAGGAAGCGGCGTATGACAACTCCCAACCATCGTCAGACTCGCCGGAAGAAATTGTGGAGGAATTTGTTGGGGATATTGGGCCATTATTAGTAGTTCGAAGGTCCTGCTATGCTCCTCGAGAGGTTGAGGGTGATTCTTGGTTGCGTGGTAATGTCTTTCAATCCACCTGCACAATAGGTGGAAATGTGTGTCGTTTTGTGATAGACTCGGGTAGCTGTGAGAATGTGGTGTCCGAAGAGGCGGTGCAGAAACTCGGGTTGACGACAGAGCCGCACCCCAACCCATATAAGCTAGCGTGGTTGAAGAAGGGTAATGAAGTTAAGGTAACCAAGCGCTGTTTGGTTTCGTTTTCTGTTGGTTCTAAGTATTAGGATCAGATTTGGTGTGATGTTGTGGGAATGGATGTGTGTCATCTTTTGTTGGGAAGACCGTGGCAGTTTGATCGTAAGGTGATGCATACCGGGGGTTCTAACACTTATACCCTTAAATCCGAGGGTACGATGATTAAGTTGCTACCTTCTAAGGAGGTTATATCCAAACTACATAGTGGAGAGGGTACCAACCTTCTAACAAAGGTGCAGTTTGAAGGAGAGATCTCGGCCACAAAAGTTGTGTTTATTGTCGTGGCAAAGGAGAGTTCACTGGCAATTTTCGAGCAGGATGTACCAGTTGAGATCCAGCCCCTTCTTGCTGAGTTTGCAGATGTGTTCCCAACTGAGTTACCCGATGGGTTGCCTCCGTTACGAGATATTCAGCACCAGATTGATCTGGTGCCGAGTTCAAGTTTGCCTAATCGACCCCATTATCGGATGAGTCCGAAGGAGCACGAGGAGTTGAGAAAACAAGTGGAGGAGTTGCTGTCCAAGGGTTTTATCCGAGAGAGTCTTAGCCCTTGTGCAGTTCCAGCATTATTGGTTCCTAAGAAAGATGGATCGTGGAGGATGTGTGTGGACAGCAGGGCAATTAATAAGATCACAGTGAAGTATCGTTTTCCGCTGCCAAGGTTGGAAGATTTATTTGATCAGTTGGGGGGTGCTCAAGTTTTTACCAAGCTGGATTTGAAAAGTGGTTACCATCAGCTTCGTATCAAACCGGGGGATGAATGGAAGACAGCGTTTAAGACTAGAGAGGGGCTTTACGAATGGTTGGTTATGCTGTTCGGTTTATCCAATGCGTCGAGCACTTTCATGCGGGTGATGAACCAAACACTATGGCCTTTGATCGGTAAATTTGTTGTCGTTTACTTTGATGATATTTTGATTTACAGTGCCACTTCTGAATTACACTTGCAACATTTACATGAGGTTCTTACTGTTTTACATGCTAGAAATTTGTATGGGGCTATTAAAAAGTGTGTGTTTATGACGGATTCTGTGCTTTTTCTGGGTTATGTTGTGTCCAAGAGTGGGATTTCGGTGGATGAGTCTAAGGTCGAGGCGATTCGTGACTGGCCACAACCTCGGACTTTGTTCGATATTCGCAGTTTTCATGGGTTGGCTTCTTTTTACCGTCGTTTTATTCTGTACTTTAGCACTATTATGGCTCCTATCACGGATTGTATGAAGGGTGGAAAGTTCTCGTGGAATGAAATTGCCACCAGGGCATTTCAGTTGATCAAGCAGAAGTTAACTTCTGCCCCAGTTCTAGTGTTACCGGACTTTTCACAGCCTTTTGAATTACATTGTGATGCGTCCAAGGTTGGAATTGGGGCTGTCGTTAGCCAAAGTTCCAACCCTGTGGCTTATTTTAGTGAGAAGCTGAATGGGGGAAAGTTGAACTATAGTACTTATGATGTTGAGTTCTATGCTTTGGTTCAATCGTTGAAGCATTGGTATCATTATCTCATACATAGCGACTTTGTTTTATATTCTGATCATGAGGCGTTGAAGCATCTCAACTCGCAGGATAAGCTTTCCAGTCGGCATGCTAAGTGGGCTGCTAATGTACAACAGTTCTCTTTCTCTATCTACCACAAGTCTGGTGTTTTGAATAAGGTTGCTGATGCCCTCAGTCGCCGCAGCAACCTGCTCACAGTTATGCGTAGTAAGGTAATTGGTTTTGATGCTTTTCGTGAGTTGTTGTTGGCTGACCCGTATTTCTCTACTATGTTTGGGAAGATCGCAGGTGGCGATCAGTTTGACTTTCATGAGCATGGCGGTTTTCTGTTTAAGGGGAATGCATTGTGTGTTCCAGAGGGTAGCTTTCGTTTAAAAATTATTAAGGAGTTGCACGATGAGGGGCATGTGGGGCGTGACAAGACCTTTGCATTGGTATCCGCTTCTTATTTTTGGCCAACTTTACGGAAGGATTTTTACAAATTTTTGGGGAGCTACCACATTTGCCAAGTCTCCAAGGGTACGGCTTCTAATGCTGGTTTATACATGCCATTGCCCATTCCATCACAACCTTGGGCCGATGTCAGCATGGACTTCGTTTTGGGGTTGCCGCAGTCACAGCGTGGCAATGATTCTGTCTTTATGGTGGTGGATCGATTTTCCAAGATGACTCACTTTATAGCTTGTAAGAAAACGACTGATGCAGTCAAGGTGGCTCAATTATATTTTTCAGAGGTTTATCGCTTGCATGGACTGCCCCAGTTCGTTGTCTCTGACCGCAACACGCGATTTTTGAGCCATTTTTGGCGTTGCTTGTGGAGGATGGCGAACACCAACCTGGCTTTTAGCACGGCTTATCACCCTCAAACTGATGGCCAAGGTGGTAAATCGCTCTTTGGGCAATTTACTCCGTAGCTTGTATGCGGACCATCGTGGGAGTTGGGATCAACACTTATGCCAAGCTGAGTTTGCTTTCAACCGTTCTGTCAATCGGAGCACGGGTTTTTCTCCATTCCTGATTGTTTATGGTTTGAATCCACGCGCCCCGATTGATTTGGCTCCTGTTCCTGACTTGAAACGGGCCAGTAGAAAAGCGGAGGAGTTTATGCGCGATCTATAGCACATTCATAAAGATACTGAGCAGCGTTTGCACAGTATTACTACGACATATAAAGAGGCTGCAGACAAAAAACGCATGATTGTGGTGTTCGAGGTTGGTGATTTTATTTATGCAGTCCTTACAAAGGATCGATTTTCCGAAGGGGAGTATAACAAGCTGAAGGCCCGCAAGATTGGTCCTGTGGAGGTTATCGAGAAGATCAATCCGAATGCTTACCGCTTAAAGCTTCCAAGCCATGTTCGTACAGCTGATGTGTATAACGTCAAGCATCTCGTTCCATTCCGGGGTGATAGTTCTTCTGATGAGCATGCAAATTCGAGGGCGAATTCCATTCTAGAAGGGGAGGATGATGCAGTGCGCTTCGAGGAGGAGTACCACCTAAAATCCATTCCTACTAGCCGGTATTTTCGTAAATAACTGACCGAGGCCTTTGGTTTTGGACCCACTTGGATTCGATTCAAAACGGCCCAACGGTTAGGACACATCGCCTTTGGCCATGTGCCGCGTGTTTTTTAGCTTTTTTCGGCCGTTTAAGGCTCCGAAAGGCCAAATTTGCTGTTTTAGGAAATAATCTTTTTGCGTATAACCTTTGATAGGAAAGTCCAACAACGTTCGTTCTTGCTGGAGAAGTTTTATTTTTTCTTATATTTTCAGAATATGTAATAATTTCGTAACATTCCGAAATTGATATATTTTTCTTCTCCTAGTAGGGCTAGGGTTTGTTTCGTATTTAAGGAGTTGTAAACCTTAGGGCTGGGTGGTTTTTTGATTATTATTGATTGACAAAGTGTCTAGAGAGAGTTTCTCGATATCTATTCCGTTTGTGATTGTCCTTGTTGCACGTTTATCTTTGATTCATAGTTCTGCCTTGCATCAGTAGTACTAGGATGGGTGACCCGCTGGGAAGTACTCGTGTTGCACCCCTTTTTGGTTTTTTTTTTACGAAATCACTTTCCCAACTCCCTTCCTTCTTCTCTTTGGTCGCTGTCAATTCTGCTCGTCTCGTCGAGAGGTTTCCGGAGAGATGTTTGCTGCGATTTTTCAAGCTCGGAGACAAAATTCCCTATTAAGCGGGCACGGTTGGCCACAGCGAGACCTGCATCGGGATACAGGGTCCGGTCGGGGAGACGTGACCAAGAAAGCTTGTGACAGAAAGTGCTGTGCCCAGCGGGCAGAAAAGTAAAACAAAAGAATTGAACCAAGAGAACTTTTCGGGTGCGATCATACCAACACGAATGCACCGGATCCCATCAGAACTCTGTGGTTAAGCGTGCTTGGGCGAGAGTAGTACTAGGATGGGTGACCCCCTTGAAAGTCCTCGTGTTTCATCCCGTTTTGATTTTTTTTACTAAATCTCTTTCCTTAATAACTTCCTTCTTCTCTTTGCTCGCCTTCAATTCTGCTCGTTTCGTCGAGAGGTTTCTGGAGAGATGTTTGCTGCGAATTTCAAGCTCGGAGACAAAATTCCCTCTTTAGAAGGCACGGTCGGCCACAACGAGACGTGACTAAGAAAGCCTGTGGCAGAAAGAGCCGTGCCCAACGGGCAAAAAAGTACAACAAAAGAATTAAAGGAGGAGAACATTTCGGGTGCGATCATACAAGCCCTAATGCACCGGATCCCATTAGAACTCCACAGTTACGTGTGCTTGGGCGAGAGTAGTACTAGGATAGGTGACCCCCTGGGAAGTCCTCGTGTTACTCCCCGTTTTGATTTTTTTTTATTAAATCTCTTTCCCTACTCACTTCCTTCTTCTCTTTGCTCGCCTTCAATTCTGCTCGCCTCGTCGAGAGGTTTCCGGAGAGCTGTTTGCTGCGATTTTTCAAGCTCGGAGAAAAAATTCCCTCTTAAGCGGGCACAGTCGGCCAAAAAGAGCCCCGCATCGGGATACTGGGCCCGGTCAGCGTGACGTTACTAAGAAAGCCCGTGGGTGAAAGAGCCGTGCCCCATGGGCCGGAAAGTAGAACAAAAGAATTGAAGGAGGAGAACATATCGGGTGCGATCATGCCAGCACTAATGCACCGAATCCCATCAGAACTCCGCAGTGAATCGTGCTTGGGCGAGAGTAGTACTAGGATGGGTGAACCCCTGGGAAGTCCTCGTGTTGCATCTCTTTTTGGTTTTTTTTACGAAATCTCCTTCCCAACTCCTTTCCTTTTTCTCTTTGCGCGCCGCCAATTCTGCTCGTCTCTTCGCGAGGTTTCCGGAGAGATGTTTGCTGCGATTTTTCAAGCTCGAGGACAAAATTCCCTCATAAGCTGGCACCGTCGGCCACAGCTAGCCCTGCATCGGAATACGGGGTCCGGTCAGCGAGACGTGACTAAGAAAGCCTGTGGCTGAAAGAGCCGTGCCCAACGGGCAGAAAAATAGAACAAAAGAATTGAAGGAGGAGAACATTACGAGTGCGATCATACAAGTACTAATGCACCGGATCCCTTCAGAACTCCGCAGTTAAGCGTGCTTGAGCGAGAGTAGTACTAGGATGGGTGATCCCCTGGGAAGTCCTCGTGTTTCACCTCTATTTGGTTTTTTTTACGAAATCTCCTCCCAACTCGTTTCCTTTTTCTCTTTGCTCGCCGCCAATTCTGCTCGTATCGTTGATAGGTTTCCGAAGAGATGTTTACTGCTATTTTTCAAGCTCGGAGACAAAATTCCATCTTAAGCGGGCACGGTCGGCCCCAGCGAGCCCTGCATCGGGAAATGGGGTCCAGTAAGCGAGACGTGACTAAGAAAGCCCGTGGCTGAAAGAGTCGTGCCCAACTGGCATAAAGTAGAACAAAAGAATTGAAGGAGGAGAACATTTCGGGTGCAATCAAATCAGTACTAAAGCACTGGATCCCGTTAGAACTCCGCAGTTAAGCGTGCTTGGGCGAGAGTAGTACTAGGATGGGTGACCCCCTTGGAAGTCCACGTATTGCACCCCTTTTTGGTTATTTTTAAGAAATCTCCTTCCCAACTCCCTTCTTTCTTCTATTTGCTCGTCGCCAATTCTGCTTGTCTCGTCAAGAGGTTTTCGGAGAGATGTTTGCTACTATTTTTCAAGCTCGGAGACAAAATTCCATCTTAAGCGGGCACGGTCGGCCCCAGTGAGCCCTGCATCGGGATACGGGGTCCTGTTGGTGAGACGTGACTTAGAAAGTTCGTGGCTGAAAGAGTCGTGCCGAACGGGCAGAAAGTAGAGGAAAAAATTTGAAGGAGTAGAATATTTAGACTGCGATCATATCAGTACTAATGCACCGGATCCCATTAGAACTCCGCAGTTAAGCGTGCTTGGGCGAGAGTAGTACTAGGATGGGTGACGCCATAGGAAGTCCTCGTGTTGCACCCCTTTTTGGTTTTTCTTACGAAATCCCCTTCCCGACTCCCTTCCTTCTTCTTTTTGCTTGCCGCCAAATCTGCTCGTCTTGTCGAGACGTTTTCGGAGAGATGTTTGTTGCGATTTTTCAGGCTCGAATACAAAATTCCCTGTTAAGCGGGCACGGTCGGCCCTAGCGAGCCCTGCATCGGGATACGGGGTCCGGTCGGCGAGACCTGACTAATAAAGCCCGTGGCTGAAAGAGTCGTGCCAAACGGGTAGAAAAGTAGAATAAAAGAATTGGAGGAAAACCTTTTGGGTGCGATCATATCATTACTAATGCACCGAATTCCATCCAAACTTCGCAGTTAAGCGTGCTTGGGCGAGAATAGTACTAGGATGGGTGACCCCCTGGGAAGTACTCGTGTTGCACCTCATTCTGGTTTTTTATTTATTTTTATTTTTTGAAATCTCGTCCCCAACTTCCATCCTTCTTCTCTTTGCTCGTCGCCAATTCTGCTCGTCTCGTCGAGAGGTTTCCGGAGGGATGTTTGCTGCGATTTTTCAAACTCGGATACAAAATTCCCTCTTAAACGGGCACGGACGGCCATAGCAAGACCTGTATCGAGATACGGGGTCCGGTCGACGAGACGTGACTAAGAAAGCCTGAGGCTGAAAGAGCCGTGCCGAATGGGCAAGAAAGTAGAACAAAAGAAATGAAGGAGGAAAACATTTTGGGTGCGAACATACCAGCACTAATGCACCGGATCCCATCAGAACTCCGCAGTTAAGCGTGCTTTGGCGAGAGTAGTACTAGGATGGGTGACCCCCCGGGAAGGTCTCGTGTTGCACCCCGTTTTGATTTTTTTTACGAAATCTCCTTCCCAACTCCTTTCCTTCTTCTATTTGCTCGCCGCCAATTCTGCTCGTCTCGTTGAGAGGTTTCTGGAGAGATATTTGCTGCTATTTTTCAAGTTTTGTGACAAAATTCCCTCTTAAGCGGGCTCGGTCGGCCAAAGCGAGCCCTGCCACGGGATACGGAGTCCGGTTGGCGAGACGTGATTAAGAAAGCTTGTGGCTGAAAGAGCTGTGCCCAACGGGCAGAAAAGTAGAACAGAAGAATTGAAGGAGGAGAGCATTTCAGGTGCGATCATACCAAAACTATTGCACCGGATCCGATCAGAACTCCGCGGTTAAGCGTGCTTGGGCGAGAGTAGCACTAGGATGGGTGACCCCCAGGGAAGTCATCTTGTTGCACCCCGTTTTGGTTTTTTTTTTAAGAAATCTCTTTCCCAACTCCCATCCTTGTTCTCTCTGCTCGCCGCCAATTCTGCTCGTTTCGTCGAGATGATTCCGGAGAGATGTTTGCTGCGTTTTTACAAGCTCGGAGACAAAATTCCCTCTTACGCTGGCACGGTCGGCCACAGCGAGCCATGTATCGGGACACGGGGTACGGTCGACGAGACGTGACAAAGAATGCCGTGGCTGAAAGAGCCGTGCCCAACGGGCGGAAAAGTAGAAAAAAAGAATTGAAGGAGGAGAACCTTACGAGTTCGATCATACCAGCACTAATGCACTGGATCTCATCAGAACTACATAGTTACGCTTGCTTGGGCAAGAGTAGTACTAGGATGGGTGACCCGCAGGGAAGTCCTTAAGTTGCATCCCTTATTGGTTTTTTTTAAGAAATCTCTTTCCCAACTCCCTTCCTTCTTCTCTTTGCTCGCCGCCGATTCTGCTCGTCTCGTCGAGAGATTTCTGGATAGATGTTTGCTACGATTTTTCAAACTCGGAGACAAAATTCCCTTTTAAGCGGGGCACGGTCGGCCACAGCGAGCCCTGCATCGGGATACGGGTCCGGTCGGCGAGACGTGACTAAGAAAGCCCATGGCAGAAACAGCCGTGCCCAACGGGCAGAAAAGTAGAACAAAAGAATTGAAGTAGGAGCACAATAGGTGTGTGATCATACTAGTACTAATGCACCGGATTCCCTCAGAACTCTGCAGTTAATCGTGCCTGGGCGGGAGTATTACTAGGATGGGTGACCCCCTGGGAAGTCCTCGTGTCGCACCTCTTTTTGGTTTTTTTTTTTTTATGAAATCTCCATCCCAACTCCTTTCCTTCTTCTCTTTCCACGCCGCCAATTCTGCTCGTCTCGTCGAGAGGTTTCCGGAGAGATGTTTGCTGCGATTTTTCCAGCTCGGGGACAAAATTCCCTCTTAAGCGGGCACCGTCGGTCACAGCGAGCCCTGCACCGGGATACGGGGTCCGGTCTGCAAGATGTGACTAAGAAAGCCTGTGGCTGAAAGAGCCGTGCCCAACGGGCAGAAAAGTAGAACAAAAGAATCGAAGGAGGAGAACATTACGAGTGCGATCAAACCAGTACTCATGCACCGGATCCCTTCAGAACTCCGCAGTTAAGTGTGCTTTGGCGAGAGTAGTACTAGGATGGGTGATCCCCTGGGAAGTCCTCGTGTTGCACCTCTTTTTGGTTTTTTTTACGAAATCTCCTTCCCAACTCGTTTCCTTTTTCTCTTTGCTCGCCGTCAATTTTGCTCGTCTCGTCAATAGGTTTCCGGAGAGATGTTTACAGCTATTTTTCAGGCTCGGAGACAAAATTCCATCTTAAGCGGGCACGGTCGGCCCCAGCGAGCCCTGCATTGGGAAACGGGGTCCGGTAAGCGAGACGTGACTAAGAACGCCCGTGGCTGAAAGAGTTGTGCCCAACGGGCATAAAGTAGAACAAAAGAATTGAAGGAAGAGAACATTACGGGTGCAATCACATCAGTACTAAAGCACTGGATCCCGTTAGAACTCCGTAGTTATGCGTGCTTGTGCGAGGGTAGTACTAGGTTGGGTGACCCACTGGGAAGTCCAAGTGTTGCACCCCTTTTTGGTTATTTTTAAGAAATCGCCTTCCCAACTCCCTTCCTTCTTCTCTTTGCTCGTCGCCAATTCTGGTCGTCTTGTCAAGACGTTTCCGGAGATATGTTTGCTGCTATTTTTCAAGCTCGGAGACAAAATTCCATCTTAAGCTGGCACGGTCGGCCCAAGTGAGCCCTACATCGGGATACGGGGTCCTGCTGGCGAGACGTGACTAAGAAAGCCCGTGGCTGAAAGAGTCGTGCCCAACGGGCAGAAAGTATAGCAAAAAAATTGAAGGAGGAGAATATTTCTGGTGCGATCATATCAGTACTAATGGACCGGATCCCATTAGAACTCCGCAGTTAAGCGTGCTTAGGTGAGAGTAGTACTAGTGTGGGTGACACCATGGGAAGTCCTCGTGTTGCACCCCTTTTCGGTTTTTTTTACGAAATCTCCTTCCCAACTCCCTTCCTTCTTCTCTTTGCTCGCCGCCAATTTTGCTTGTCTCGTCGAGAGGTTTCCGGATAGGTGTTTGCTGCGATTTTTCAAGCTCGGAGACAAAATTCCCTCTTAAATGGGTACGGTCGGCCACAGCAAGCCTTGCATCGGGATACGGGGTCCGGTCGACGAGACGTGACTAAGAAAGCCCATGGCTGAAAGAGCCGTGCCTAACGGGCAAGAAAGTAGAACAAAAGAAATGAAGGAGGAGAACATATCGGGTGCGATCATACCAGCACCAATGCACCGGATCCCATCAGAACTCCGCAGGTAAACGTGCTTGGGCGAGATTAGTACTAGGATGGGTGACCCCCCGGGAAGTCCTCGTGTTGCACCCATTTTTGGTTTTTTTTACGAAATCTCTTTCCCAACTCTCTTCCTTCTTCTCTTTGCTCGCCGCCAATTCTGCTCGTCCCGTCGAGAGGTTTCTGAAGAGATGTTTGCTGCGATTTTTCAAGCGCGGAGACAAAATTCCCTTTTAAGTGGGCACGGTCGGCCCCAGCGAGCCCTACATCGGGATACGGGGTCCGGTTGTCGAGAGGTTACTAAAAAAGCCCGTAACTGGAAGAGCAGTGCCCAACGGGCAGAAAAGTAGAACAAAAGAATTTAAGGAGGAGAACATATCGGGTGCGATCATTCCAGCACTAATGCACCGGATCCCATCAGAACTCAGCAGTTAAATGTGCTTGGGCGAGAGTAGTACTAGGATGGGTGACCCCCTAGGAAGTCCTCGTGTTGCACCCCTTTTTGGTTTTTTTTACGTAATCTCTTTTCCAACACCCTTCCTTTTTTTCTTTGCTCGCCGCTAATTCTGCTCATTGTAGACACCCCAATCTGATTTCTCTGTTATTTTATCTCTTTTCAGTTTCTTGTTCCCCCGATGATGAATCAAGTCGCGAACAGTATTGATTGAAATGGCTTGAGTTTGGTGTGTGTCGAACCCATCCCTTAGCCCCAGAACCATTAAACGCAAACTTTGACTAAGGGTTTGACTCTCGCGCGACTTAATGAGACACTCGCGCGATGCTCTACTTGCCAGGTGGTGGTCAAAGTCAAATTTTGACTGATTGACCATCGCGGGGAAGCTAGAACCCTCGCGCGACGATATCAATCCATCGCGTGATGGTCGACACCTGTCGTATCCAGCTGGATTTTGTGATGATGAGGCGTCTGCAGGTCCATGTGACCCCGTTCCATCAAATGGACGGCGTTTGCTCGGCCATCCTCGCACCACCTAAACCCCCACTCTCCCATCAACTTTGCACCCTACTTCTCCACCAAGTAAGTGCAACCAGCATTGTTGGCTAGCTGCATGACCTTGTCCAGCCTCCAACAAAGCCTCCCATTCTCCTATAAATAACCCCCATGGTTCTTATTCCAAAGGGTTACCAAAAATTCACTCAAAAGAAGAGCAAGAACTATAATCTTGATCTTTACCAAAGCCACTACCATTTTCTCCTTTACCAAAGGCACACCACTTCATTCAAGTCTTATTCAAATCATTCAAGCAAAGGTATAATTTTCAGCCTTTACTGTTTTGATCCCTGAGGGGGGCAGACAGGGCCAGGGCTGGTAATCAATATCAGTCTTGGTCCCAAAGCCAACAAATTTACAAGCTACTGAGGACAGGCGAATCCACGTGCGAGGTACCCACTCTGTCGCGCGATGGTTCTCCATCTGCGTGATAAGGTTCTCGCGGGGATGGAATCCTTGTCCTGTTATAAATACATGGCTTCATGTTTTCTTACTTAACGATATTCAATATCTTTTACTGTGTTGCATGCAAAAATCAATAATTCAGTCTAGTTTGCTTTCCTGTTCATATTGGAATGCTCCTGGGTAGCTTCTGAATATGTCTCAGAACCCAGGCATGCAAAGCAATTCCTAGAAGTCCAGTCAGAACAATCGCGCGATGATGTGACTCCATCGCGCGATGGTAGTCTCTTTTCCAGTAATTGCCCTTGCATGGGCAGCTAGGCTCTCAGCCTCTGTTTTAACACCCTCACTGTTTAAGGGTTGCAATTTTATTCTAGCTGTGTTAATTTATAAATATTGATTTACTTTCAGTACACATAAACTGCGTGGATTGTCCTGGGTGTGCACTGGTCCTTCCAGAGCCCAGAAGAAGATAAAACTTAACGTGTTGGGAGGATACCAACCCTCGCGCGATGGAATGGGTTTGACGCGCGATGGTGGACTTGCATGCTGGCAGATCCATGCATGCAAGTTGGCCATTATTTGTGTTAAACTCATTCCAGTGCACTGTTTTGATATCCAATCTCAGTGTTAGATTTTATCTTGTTTATTTTCTAACATGTCGTGCCATCCATGCTACCATCTATCACATCTTGCAAATGTGCTACAGTTTTTAATCCCCGATTAACTGTTCCCCTGCCCTAATTGGCTAAAAATTGATTAATGAAACAGAATCGCAAACAAACAACGTTTTTGCAAATGCCTAAGTAGAGACCGATCTCCGGATTGGGCGAGAGGGGTGCCATAAAACCCTTCCCCTCTCGTAACCTAGCTCCCGAACCCAGATATGGTTATGACGGATTGGTTCCTTAACTTTTTCAAAATCAAACAGCACGGCAAGTGCTTCGAAATACGGTTCCTTGGGTGTCGGACCTTCAAACCCAAGTGGCGACTCTGTATTTTCGCGAGCGCTTGTCGTCCAACTTCAAAAGCGCTCACGCGAACCGGCAGTATCTCTCCTTTCTCAAAAAAGGGTGGGGAACGGAATCCCTTCCCTGGAGGAGCGAAAGATCAGGCAATTCGCATTGCCCACAGTGGCGACTCTACTGGGGATCGAACCGATATTGATTTATACTTTGAATTTAATACGCTTGAGAAAAATCCCACAAAAGCCTGTCAAAACGGTGAGCTTCGCGCTGCCGAAGAAAGGATTGGTGATTTAACAGGATCTCCTGTCCGGCCATCCAATCTGGGGCTTTTCCAATTATTCTCTCGCATAGTTTCTGTAGGGAGGTATTCCCGAACAGACACAATTAGTCACCAGATACGTGATGTACAGGGGCACGTGATGAGCCGGATAAGGCTTATCGCCGGGCAGTGCGATGAGCAGCAATGTGGACCAGTGACACGTAAAGGCATTGGTCCAAACAGTCTGTTCGGCTGCTAAGGTCAAAAGACATGTGAAGTCATTTGACCAGATATAATAACATGGACCAGTTGCATGTAAGGTCATTGGACCTTGTTGACTGTTCGGCTACGAGATAGCCAAATAGGGGAAAAAGTTGCCCTAAAGCATGAGGCAGCAAGAATGTTCTGGAAAGTTCCGGAATAAGTAATATTCTGGGGAGGGATGAGATCTCGGGTATGTAAGATCTTGGAAAGGCACCCAACGAGAATAGGATGTTCGGTCCTTTATGGAAAAGAGTCCTGAAAAGACTAAGGTAATGAATTGATAAGGGAATGAGAATCCAAGATTCCTTAGGTTTCCTATACGAGATAGGAATCCTAAGGCAACAAGGACGCTTGGGCAGCAAGAGTCTATAAATACGAGGTAAACCTGGAGGTAAAAGGTACGCAATTTTTGGGGTTATCTCTTATTGTTTTCCTACTGATGATTAGGGTTCTACTAGTACGTGATACTAACTTAGGCATCGGAGGGCCTTTGCCACGAGAGGCAAATGTGCACTCACCCCTTGTCTGTTTTGCAGATTAGGGTTCCGACGAAGTACTAGGCTT